ACCTCTCCCCGAAAGGAGAAGAAGGAGGGGTGGAAGAGGAAACGCCCTAAACCACCGACGCCCAGAGGGCTGATGGGATTAGTACCTGGCGGGGTGGACACATTTGTCATTGTGCGCCAGGGGGGACCAGAGGCCCAAAAGTCCAACATTGCGTACACACTATCTCTCTATGTATATATATATATATATATATATATATATATAGAGATCGATATGTCTATCTGTATATATGTGTGTATACATATATATATATATATATATACGCGCATGCGTCCAACATTGCGTACACACACACGCGTTCAGTTTCTAGTCACATGCGCGCTCCCAGACTGATTTTCGACCCTCGATGTCGCTCGGCTGGTCAGCGCTGTTGCGATGTGCGTTGCAAATGGGCGTCGCAGAGCCTTCTCCCGCCTCTAGTTCCCTACGAAAGCCTGGTCGGAGCGGCCGAAGGTCCAAACAAGGAGAAACTGTCGACGGCGGCGGCGGCGCGGGCGCGAGTATCGGACTCCTGGGGAGTGCCCTGTGGGGGAACGGCGTCCTTTTGCCAGGCACCCGCACGGGGCTGCCCAATAAGGCGGCCCCAGGGGTCCGCAATGATGCAACCTGCTCGCCGGCCCCACAAGCTGCGCCCCTGGATTCGAATACTCTGGACAGTGGCATCCTGCACCTCATTTTCTTCGTTTCTTCCTCTTCCTCGTTCTCCTCCTCCTCCTCTTCCCCCAACTCTTCCTCCCCCGCCTTCTCCTGAGCACCTACTGGGCCGTTCTGGTGCCCGCTGGTGTCGCGGGGCTCGCGCCGCACCGTTGACGCGGGGAAGCAGGCGTTGGGAAGGTCGACCAGAGGGCGTCGTACACATCGAGCGTTCCTGTGCGGCACAGCAGAACAACCGCGTGTTCGGGACCACTCTTCCCGGGAGAATGCATTTGGGAACGTTCGGAGTCGGTTCAGTGAAATTATGGCGCCTGCCGTGCCGTCCAAGGATGCCAGAGGAAGATAGGATGATGACGATGATGATGAGGAGGAGGAGGAGGAGGAGGAGGAAGAGGAGGAGGGCGCGAGGGGGAGAAGGGGGGCGATGGGCGCGGCAGGCCAATTCGGCCAGAAGCCTGCGGGGAAAGCCGAGCGGTGCGTGAGCTGGCGTCGGCACCTCGGGCGCCACCTGGACCTCCCTGCAGCGGTGGCACCGGGAGGGCAGCCTCCGAGCCAGCTGCGCGAACGAAGGGCTGAGCAGGCCAGCGCTCGCTGCTCGCTCGGCGGGGGCGTGACTGGCACTCGGGCGACCAGTGGCCGCCCAAGCCGCTGGGAGACGTTGTGGCCAAGGGTGGTCGAGGAAGCGCCGGACCGGCGCGAGGCGAGCGAGGAAGACGCAGGCAGGGCTCTGCGCATCATCCTGAGTGGGGGCCATGGCATGGTAGTGGCGTGTTAGCTTGTGAGAGTGTGGTTGCATTTTGCGCGGTTCTCTGCGGAGCGAAGCGGGGAGGAGGACAAGCAGGGGGCAGGGCCTGCGAAGTCGTAAAGCATTGCGCCCCTTCTGTTCTGAATACGATCCAGTATACGCAAGCGTACCTCATGCTGCTCTGATATTCGAGTTCCTCCCCGCGTATTCCACCAACTCGTGATTGTTATGCAGCGATCACACCCGACAGCCAGGATCCCAGACGCAGCGTGTTGTGGCGAGCGTTCTCCTGTACGCGCTCGGTTCCGTCCCTTGCCTTGCCCCATCCTTCGAGAGATCGTTCGATCTGCCCACCTCCTCCTCCGCCCAAGAGGACCCCAAGACGGCCTGCGAGGCGCCCCACGAAAGCCCCAAGGGGAGAGAAGGACGGAGGGATATCAATGTCAATGCCAATGTTTGCAAAACTGCACGAACTCTCAACATGCACTGGATCGAGAAAGCTGCAGTCTGCGCCAGCCAGAGTCGCAATATCGTAGGGCTCTGGGAGGTGCCACGAGGACGGGATCTGGGGCTTGGAGTGATTGACATGGGTGTTCTATGACATCCAGGTCACCTAAGAGCCAATGGTGGTCCTTAACTGCTGGCTCGCTGAAAGAACTAGGGTAGATCAAAGGGGGGGGGCTGAACTGACAATGTGCGAAGCCCCAGAATCCAGTGACGATCAAAGCCCTGCCCAAACCCACGCCACCATTCCCTGGCGAATACCAGCCAGCCAGACGGCCTCAATCCAATGATGGTGAGGTCCCCCTCAAGTCGCGCCGCTCGCTAGATCCAAGCTAAGGACGTGGACCGCGCAGCGCGAGGGTCTGCTGCACGGCTTCAAGCTGGATTGTAGCTCAAATGAGACAGGCTGGGAGATCGAGGGAACCGAGGTGCCGGGTCTTGCGTCAACGGCCGCCCTGGCAAGCTTTAACTTCCCTGGGACCAGTTGGTGATACGTCGTCCCCCTTCCTGTTCGCCCCCCCGCCTACACAACACGTGGTCAGCGAAATGAACCTGAAGGGTCGCTCAGCGGTCTTTGCTCTCCCAAGACCACTGCTGCAAATCACAACCCAAGCCTCGACGCGGGTACCCGTCCTCGTAGGGCTGCCGCTTCCGCGAACCAATCCTCCAGTGGACGTTGCCTGTGTCACCGTTCCCTCGCTCGGCAAGGTTTCTTTTCACAATGCGCTGGCAGCCACGTGTCACCACACGCGCACGGGAGATCCTAGACGTGAGCCGCGTGCAAGGAAAGCGACTCGCAAGATTGATTCGTATGTCCTTCCCTGTGCCCTCCCCGCCACCTCGGTCTCCCGTTCTGGGTTGCCCTCCCGCCTGCCGCAGTTTCGACCCCTTGCAAGGCGTTGTGGTCGCTAGTTGCTGTTACTTTCGCACGTTTATAGACAGATGTGCATATATATATATATATATATATATACATGCACACTTAAGTCTGTGTACACATATGTATGCACATACATGCCTGTCTAAATACAGCTATAGGCATATATATGTGTGTATATATATATGTGTGTGTTCAAAATAGAACCACGCGCACGGAATTCACATCGCGAATTGCCGACGAGGAGTGCAGGAGCGATTCTGGAGAGCCTGCGGAGGTGGCACATGGACCTGCGGCAAGAAACTTTTTGGATCCTGGCGGCGTGTCGGGGAGTCATGGGGTTTTTGAAGGTTTCTGCGCTTCTTTGGATCCACCCGAGGACCGGAGGAAGAGCTTAGTAACGAAAAACTGTGCCCGAGTTTGGTGACGAAGTACACTCCGCCAGGGCCACACCACGGAGTATCGAAAGCCACCCCTTCCCTTCCTGGCCACGCATCTGGGGCAAAACCAAAGTGCAACGAAGTCCAGGAAACCTATATGGGTCGTAAAGGCAAGGCCGCCAATTCGATGACTCAGGCTTCTCGGGGGGCATTATTGAAGAGCTTCCGCGCCACCTCCAGCCTCCAGCCGTTCACGGGCCATCTTGAAACCTCTTGGACGCGTGCTGGACATGCGGTACTTGGGGCCATTGGCGTCCGTTTTTGGGACCGTTTTGGGAACAACCTGGGCCATCTTGGAAACCTTGGAACCGGTTTGGGCGAATTTCGGGCTGTATTGGAACCCTCTTGGGGCCGTGCCGGGGCCATTGTGGGTCTATTGTGGACTGTCTTGGGGCCCTTGGGCCGTGTTGGAAGCCTTTGGGGCCGTCTGGGGGACAATCTGGGCGTCTCGGGGCGGAATCTCGGTGATTCTCGGCCCCCTTGGGGCGTTCTGGGACTTCTTGGGGACCTCGTGATCCGTTTTTGCAGCTGTCTTGGGCCCTTCAGGGGCATCCCCAAACGCCCCGGCACCCCCATGCGCAGACGAAGTCCCAGGGCAAGAGCCCAAGACTCCGTCGCCAGGATATATATATATATGTATATATACACATACATACATGGATGTATGTACACGCACTAGGATCATCGCGCGCTTCGTCCGCGCTCAAGTTTTAGCGCGGGCCCAGTGTGGTTGCAAAAGTAAGAGGGATCAGAATCATCATCATCAGCAACATCCTCCTCCTCCTCATCATAATCATCAACATCATCAGCATCATCATCATCGTCATGATCATGACCGTGAAAATCAGAACCACTGTCGCCAATATCATCCCCATGAACATCTCATTTCAATTTGGAAGAATGATGCTAATACATCCACGATGCGTCCGCGCCGGCATAGCGCGAAACGAGTATAGTGCAGCCAGGACCAGCGCCGAGCGGGCGGCGGCGGCAGGTGACGCGACCAGCCCCACGAATGCCGCCCCGCCAGGGCCCTGGCGACACCGCGACAGGTCCACAACACCACGCACCACACAGGGAGGTGAGGGTGGGAGCGCGAGACGCGCAGGCGGGCACGCGCGGCGCTCGTGAATAGTGCACGCGAAATTCGCCAACCCCGAACCCAAGCCCCTGGCCGCGCGCGCGGGGCGGTCCGCGCGGGGAGGTCCCGTAGTCGTACCGTGGTTGTTGCGTGATTGTCCCGCGGTTCTCCTGTGGTTGTCCCGCGGCGGTTGTCTAATGGGTTGTCCCGTGGTCGGTCCGTGAGAGCACCGCTGTTGTCCCGTGGCTGTCTCTTGGCTGCCCCGTAGAAGCGTCCCTAATCCACTCGCCTGCAACCATGTTCTCGTTTCCTTGAGTGGCCGCCTTCCCAGTCGCCAACACCCATTCTTCGACGTTGCATCTTCTCCTCACCCCTCGAAGGGGCTGGCCCACTCTTCGACGCCACTCCCGTGTTTTCGGAGTGAGCAGGGCTGGTAGACAGGGAATGCCACTGGCTATCACAACCTCCCAGCAACAGGCTTCGGGTCAGGGTTGTCCCCAAGCGACGGGCCTCCCCCCTTTATGACAGCGCCTACAGTAACCCCGAAGGGCTGTCAAGTGGGCCCCTGCGCGTACCTCCTCCTCCCTTCTCCATCCTCCCTCGTCCGCCCTCCTCCGTTCTACTCCCTCCTCCCTCCCCCCCCCCGTGGGGAGGCGCGGCGTCGCATGTCACCCGTGGCGCGCAGGAGAAGCCGCGCGCCTGGATCACCTTCCTCATCGGCGATTCCTGCTTCAAGTTGAAGGTCAACTTTGCGCCGCGCGCGCCCCGCCTCTCCCCGTCTCACCGTCATCCTCTGCGCGAGCATGGCCACGGCCACGCGGGCGTTTTTTTCCTGGGCTTTGGCATTTGGCCGAAAGGGGGTGGGAAAAAGGAGGGGCTGGGTCAGTGTCCGTGGATCCGCTCAAACCAATCGCGCAAGCAGACAAGGGGGGCCCTGACCAGTAACCAAACGCAGCCGCCAAAGGCAACCAGACTCTGTGGGGGGCGGGGGGTGGGGCGGGCCCCCCCGCCGATCGGCGAGACACCGCATAGAGAAACGGCTGCCACCCGAAGTGCTCGGGGCGTGCTTGGGCCTCCGTGGGGCCTATGTGGGGCCTGCCACACAAGGGGACAAACAAGGCCCAGGGGAGGGGGCACCAACAGCCTGCGGGGGCCTTCGCGGACCTCGTTCGTCCTCTCTGCTCCGACAGCATGGCACAGCGACACATCGAGCACGCCCCGCGCGAAGCCGTCGTCGATCAGCAGTATCTCTCCATGCTCGCTCCTCTGCGTCCTCGTCTTCCTCGCCGCCCAAGTCGTCCTCGTCGCCCAAGTCGTCCTCGTCGCCGTCGCCGTCCTCCTCCTCCTCCTCCTCCTCCTCCTCCTCCTCCTCCTCCCTCCCTCCACCAAGACCCATACCCCGACGCCCGAAAGGCATCCAGAAGCGCAAGGGCCCTTCGAACACCTTCTTCTCCCTCCTGCTCCTTCCTCCTTCAAATTCCGAAGAGTTCGAAGTGCGGACCCTGAGTTTCCCGAAGAGCTGCGGCCTTGTCTCCCTCTACCGGTCCCAGTCATCGACATTTCCTGGTGGGGTGGAGGGGATGCAGCCCTGGGGATGTATTTCTGGGGAGCTTCGGCTGCATCGGAGGCCATGTGACAAAGTAGAGAGGTTCGTCTCATGCTTCCTCTCCGCCTTCCCCCATCCTGATCCTCCCTCCCTCGTCCTCCCAGAAAAGACGCAGGATGGCGCTGCGCAGGTTGAAATGTGGGCCTCGCTACTCGCTACTCGCGAAGAGCATGGTCATCACGTTCTCGCGCAGTGACCGCGAGAGGGCGGCACTGGAACAAAAACGAGGCGTCTTCGCGCAATTGCGCCTCCTAGGAAAACCAAAATGGTTCGCAATCGCGGCTGCATTTACAGCTTGGCCCAGGTCAGGAAGTGCACGAGTGGGATTGGAATGCACACATTGTAGACACTTCTCGAGCAAGAAACTTGATGGCGGCACGGTGGCAGCTCGTTTCCGAGGCCGCATTTGAAACGCGGCTCACGCTAAAATCATGCTTCGGCCGAAACGCGGTTGAAGCTCCCCTCCCCCACACTCACGTCCCGAACCCCAGCGGAGCTGAGCGGGGTGAGCCCTGTGGGAGAGAAGTGAAGGATGCCCCTTTGATTGTGGTCACCCAGGAATGTGAAGCTCTGCGGTCTCTGTTCAGACAAATGTCAGCTCGCCGCTCTTGGTCATGTTCTCCTCGCCGTCGGGGAGGGCAATCAGCCGTGGTATCGTGCATTGCTGCTCGGGCATCATGTTGTCTTCACGTTCGCGGGTCGTAGGCCTGCCGGGGCTGGAGCGTGGCCCTCACGCGGTCGTCGGCCATGAGCGGGTCGAGGTCATGGATCATGCGCGGCCACTTCGGCTCCTCGGCCAGAAAATTGCTGCGGGCCTCCAGCGTCTTCCTGCTGACGGCACGGAGCTCTGAGTGGGCGTCGAGGTCAAGCCCAGATGGGGTGACACGTGCTAGGTGGGCGGCTTTCAGATTCCAGATCGCGACGACCTCCGCCTTCTGGCTGCCGACTGGGAGGTCACACTCTTCGTGGCACGCGCGCTCGATGGCTCTGGTAGCGGCATGAGGGCACTCGAAGTGCACGAATCCACAGCCATTGGACCTTCAAACGTTTTCGGCAACTACCTCGCTGGTGTGGATCTTCCCGGGCAGGCTGACTGCGGCGCGCAAGGCCTCTAAAATGACATCGATGTCGAAATTCTAACCCGAGCTGGCGCGGGTTGCCACATTGACACTCGTATCTTCGCCCGCGGTCTTCTGCCCAATCGTCGCCAATGCCCTGCCTGGGGCCGTCATCCGCGGAACCTGAAGCCACCGTCAGGGGGCTTGGTCCGACGAGGGGGGATGCAAGCATTCGTGGGCGCAGTCCTCCATGAGGTCCTCGTCAGCAACGAAAGCCTCGCTCTTGTGGTGGGTTCAGATGGCATTGGCCTGATCTGCCCCGTCACCGCTGCCCCCGTTCTGGCCATAGCTCGGACGTCCATTCCCTGTGTTTTTTTCGGTTTCGTGCGTGGTCTTGTCGCCAAATGATCAAGGATGCTCCTCGATGGTCCTCGCCGAGGAAAAAACGCACACGTCCGAGCGATGCCAAGCGTTCGCACGCCGCGGCAGTCTTCGTGGGGTCTATCGGAGTGGCCGTTGCGCTTCAGGTACTGTCGTGGTTTGCCATCTCCGCCTCTCTGGAGCTGACGCCTTGCCGGATCTCGTCACGGACGGCGGCGATGATCTCGGCTTCCCGGCGTTGACATTGACCGGGATGAAGGGTAGTCCATCGTAGCGCAGGATTGTTTTTGTTGTCCGGTCTGCGTCCAACCGAAGCGATGAAAGGGGCCTGGCCCTCGTCATAGCAATGATGATCTCAATCGGAGGTCTGCATGTCCCGGTTGCTGGTGTGCTGGTCCCCGTGGTGGCGCCCAGAGTTGCGAGGATGACTCGGGCGAAACTGGCCGGACCATCTCTCGGGCCGAGGAGTCTGCGAGCCCAGAGCTGCGAGTTTCTCCCAAGCAAAACTGGCCCAACAAAGAATATGTTCGACCTCCGTTCTGGAAGCGGGTGTTCATACCCTTAAGTCGCGCCTGTCCTCCTACAGGCAGGTTTTGGCTGAAAAATGAAAAGTACGCACAAAATGCCCAACAATCCCACCGGCCCTCTGGGCGTAGGTGGTCTAACGATGTTGTTATTTCCTCTTCCAAAAAAACCCTCTTCCCCTTTGGGGGGTATCACTGCTCACTATCAATAAACACCCCCTCCACCAGGCGACTGGTAGCCAACCAGGAACCATGAGGGCCCCCCACCCCCACCATCCCTATTTTACCTAACAGCGCAGACTGATAGGTTTCTATTGGGCTCAAAAAGAAAGCATCTTGACTCCCCAGGGGGGTCTGGGCGGATGCCGGGGGGATTCCGGGGACTCCCCGGGAGTCCCCAGGGGGGTCTGAGCGGGTGCCGGGGAGGATCTGGGGACTCTCCAGATCACCATTCCCAGGCCACATTTTGAATGCCCGGAGCCAACTGTAGGCCACTTCGTGTTCTTCGTGTTCCCAGAACACCATTCCCAGGCCACATTTTGAATGCCCGGAGCCAACTGTAGGCCACTTCGTGTTCTTCGTGTTCCCAGAACACCATGCCCAATCCACATTCTGAATGCCCGGAGCCAACTGTAGGCCACTTCGTGTTCTTCGTGTTCCCAAAACACAATTCCCAGGCCACATTTTGAATGCCCGGAGCCATCTGTAGGCCACTTCGTGTTCTTCGTGTTCCCAGAACACCATTCCTGTACCATATTTTGATTGCACGGAGCAAATTGTGAGACTGAGGCTGAGGCAGGCTGAGGCTGAGGCAGGTTGAGACTGAGGCTGAGGCAGGCTGAGGCTGAGGCTGAGGCTGATGCAGGCTGAGGCTGAGAGGCTGACGCTGAGGCTGAGGGAGGCTGAGGCTGAGGCTGAGGCTGAGGCTGAGGCTGAGGCTGAGGCTGAGGCAGGCTGAGGCTGAGGCAGGCCGACACAGGCTGAGGCTGAGGCTGAAGCTGAGGCAGGCTGAGGCTGAGGCTGAGGCTGTGGCTGAGGATGAGGCAAGCTGCGGCTGAGGCAGGCTGAGGCTGAGGCTGATGCAGGCTGATGCCGAGGCAGTCTGAGGCTGAGGCTGAGGCAGGCTGAGGCTGAGGCTGAGGCCGAGGCAGGCTGAGGCTGAGGGCGAGGCAAGCCGAGGCAGGCTGAGGCTGAGGCTGATGCTGAGGCAGGCTGAGGCTGAGGCAGGCTGAGGCTGAGGCTGAGGCAGGCTGAGGCTGAGGCAGGCCGAGGCTGAGGCCGAGGCAGGCTCAGGCCGAGACAGGCTGAGGCTGAGACTGAGGCTGAGGCTGAGGATGAGGCCGAGGCAGGCCGAAGCTGAGACCAGGTGTGGCTGAATCAGGGGGGGGGGAAGGGGGCGGGGGGGGGAGGAGGGAAGGCTGAGGCAGGCTGAGGCCGAGGCAGGCTGAGGCCGAGGCAGGCTGAGGCTGAGGCTGGGGCAAGCCGAGGCAGGCTGAGGCTGAGGCTGAGGCTGAGGCTGAGGCAGGCTGACGCTGAGGCAGGCTGAGGCTGAGGCTGACGCAGGCTGAGGCCGAGGCAGGCTGAGGCTGAGGCTGAGGCGGGCTGAGGCTGAGGCCGAGGCAGGCTGAGGCTGAGGCGAGCCGAGGCAGGCTGAGGCTGAGGCTGAGGCTGAAACTGAGGCAGGCTGAGGCATCCGTACGAATCCATAGGAATCCTTAGGAATCCTTAGGAATCCGTAGGCATCCTCAGGAATCCGTAGGCATAGTCAAGCATCCTCAGGAGTCCTTAGGAATCGTTTGGATTCCCTAGGAATCCTTAGGAATCCCTGGGAATCCATAGGAATCAGGATTCCTAAGGTTTCCAAAGGATTCTCATGGATTCCTAAGGATGCCTAAGGATGCCTTAGGAATCCCTAGGAATCCTTAGGAGTTCATTGGATCCTAAGGCCGTTGCCACTGCGACTGTCATTGCGAATGCGACTAGGACTGCGAGAACACCAGAATTCTACAAGTGGATTCTCACCTGAAGCTTAAGTGGAATGCTTCCATATATGTTTATGCACATCGCTTAGGTTGCTTTGCCGGATTTTTGTTTGTTTGAAAAATTGTCCCAGTGCCGTCCTGCTCCTTCTCCTCAACGACGCGGTGCTGAACACATACATGCACACACACACGCACACACATGCAACATTACGCATGGTGTTGTGTATATATATATATGCTATATATACATATATATACATAGTTGCATATGTAGAGAGACATTTATGGCATGTGAACATACGTCGGGTGTCATGTCTCCCGGTCGGTGCTATGTGCGAAACCTTCGTGGATCCTAAGGGCTCAAGCTGCCCCACTAAGGGCTCACGATGGCCCACAGACGGAGATCATGCATGGAACATACGTGCGCACGCACACACACATATAAGTACATATATACGTAACAGCAACACTAGTGGATGCTGTGCTGCGCTATGCTATGATATGCTATGTCATGCTCTGCTCTGCTCTGCTCTGTTCTGCTCTGCTCTGCTTTGCTGCGCAATGCTATGCTGGGCCAGGCTAGGCTAGGCTAGGCTAGGCAAGGCTATACTATGATATGCTGCGCTATGCTATCCTGCGCTCTGCTATGCTATGCGATGCTATGCTACGCAATGTTTTTGCTTTGCCTTCGTGTTTGCCTTCACGTGTAACTTTGCTTGTGTTTTTGTTTGGCACCCAGGGAGCGCAACTGGGGGAATCGCGCTTGCGGGCGGGGAGGAAGTCTTGATCACTGCTCCCTATTAATATACAACCCCTCCCCCAGGCGACTGGGCGACAACCCAAGACCATGCAGCCCCCCCCACCATCCCTTTGTAAAAACAATTCAAACACACACTCTGCCTCCAACTTCGGAACATGCGCAGCGAACCCGATGCTGCCTCCCCCCACCATGGTCAAAAACACGATACAGAGTACACGTGGCGGCTGCGGCGGCTGCGGCGGGGGCAGCGGCTGCGGCGGGCGGCGGCGGCGGCGCGGCGGCAGCGACGGCGGCGGCGGCGGCGGCGGCTGCGGCGGCAGCGGCTGCGGCGGCGGCGATTTGGCAGCGGCGGCGGCGGCGGCGGATGATTGGCCCCCAGTAGAGACGACAGCTGAATATGCTGAGGATCGGGCCAGGCTCGGGTTCTACGTATGTGTCGGGAGGGCGGGTGGGAGTGTGCGAAACGGCTTGCGGGCGGGGAGGGAGTCTTGACCACTCCCCCTGCCCCCTTCCCTGGACTGGTTAGGGGGTGTCGCGGGTGGTCGAAGGTTTTTTTTCGGCCCCTGGGAGGGCCTACTTTTGACACCGCTCACGAGGATCGTGGCCCCAGGGGGGGGGACCTCGATCGGGACCCCCCCTCCTTTGATCGAAAGCGTCGAAAATGGCCTCAAGAGGCGCTCTTGGGCCCCCAAAAGAGCCCAAGAGAGCCCCAAGAGGGTTCCAAGAGGGCTCCAAGAGGGTCTCAAGAAGGCCCCATGAGGCCCCCGAGAGGCCCCCGAGCGGCCTCAGAGACCCCAGAATGACCTCCAAGATGGCTCAGACAGCCCAAGCTGGCTCAAAATGGCTCCCAAGATGTTCCAAACGGCCCCAAGACCGCTCCAGGAGAGCCCAAAGAAACGAGCCGCGGGCTCCTGAGGGGGGAGCTGAATTGGGGACCCCCCCCATCCTGTAACCGATGGTCTCCAAGATGATCCCAAACAGGTTCCAAGACGGCCCACCGAACTCCCAGGCAGCACCAGCAGAAGCAGCAGCAGCAGCAACCGCAATAATACCTCCAGATGGTTCCATGAGTCCTCGTCCGCGTCGTCCTCATCCTAGTCCTCGTCCTCGTCCTCGTCCTCCTCGTCCTCGTCCTCGTCCTCCTCTTCCCCTCGCCCCCACGCAGCCCCCAGGGATGGCCCGAATAAACCTTCCAAGGCCGCCCCCTTCCTCCCAAAGATCTCTCGGTTCACCCTCGTTGCTCGCTTTGTTTCCCTAGGTGTGTCTCTTCGTCCCTTTTCCAGTCAGCTCTCATGGGCAGGGCTTCTGAATGGGCTAGTGGGGATACTTTTTTTGTTCGCGAGCGTCGCGGTCCAACCACGCGCCGTCCAGGTCGGTGGGGGTATTTTTTTTGTCGCGGCCGCGGGCGAAGGCGCCGACGGCGTCAGCATAGTCAACTCGGGCTACGAACACCGTAATTACCGTCGCGCGCGCCGAACAGGCAATACCAACCGCCGAGGGAAGCAGCCGCGCCGGGGCTGAGCTGCGCCGGGGGGAGGGACTGCCAGCTGCGGAGGCGGCTGGGATGCTGCAGCGTGCGAGTACCATGTGAGCTGAATCGCCAGGCACGAGAATTACGCCTCGTCGTCACCGGGCGCCAGAATACAGGGAAGCCGACCGCCAGGTGACACGCCAGGCCGCACAAGAAGGCTGAACCACTCCTAAAAGACACGGCGGGCCAGTACACCAGGTGGCCAGCTGACAACCAGAGCCAGAGCCAGCTGACAACCAGAGCCAGAGTCGGTGGGGATACGCGAAGCGAGAAGAATAATGTCAAAGAAATCGTCCCCAGACTATCTCTTTTTTTTTTTACTATTTTTGAATGTCCCTCTTGAAAAGGGACACGCCCGACTTAATTCTACCCCTCGGAGCCTCTGAGCCCTCGATGCCTCGTCTTCGCGAGCGGCGGCGGCGGCGGCGGCGGCGGCGGCCCGGAGGCACCTCGCTGGGCCCGTCGGCGCCCCAGGCCCGCACCACCACCCTCACGTGCTCGGGCGCCCCGTCGGCCGCGGCTGGGGCCAGGTGGGGAGTCGTCGCTTCGTCGGCGTCGGCGTCGGCGTCCTCGCCGTCGTCGTCGTCGTCGCCACCAGAGGAAGGGGGCGGAGGGGGGAGAGGAGGAGGGAGTGAGGAGGAAGGAAGGAGGGGCCAATTCAGTTCTCAAGCGCTTCAAGACTGCTTGCCGCTGGTATATCTGCTTCCGTCTCGGACTGGAGCCGAACAGTCGTTGCTGCACCCCCTGTCGCTGCCTCGCCTTTCGGCAACCGTGCTGCTGCGAGCAAAACTGGTTCTGCAAGCTCGCACGCTGCTGCAGAGGAGGGGGGAGGGCAAGTAGGGAGCGGAGGATGAGGAAGAGGAGGCGGGGGAAACGAACACAATGTCAATGACACGCAACATTAATGGAACGCCGGAACCCATCAGCGTGTTGCTGTCGAGGAAAAGAATTCTTCGGGCCAAAAGCAATGATGTAACACGCAGACGGGCTCCCATCAGCGGGATGTTTTCCCTACCGGGCAGGAGGGCAACGGATCAACCCCACTAACACCTGGCCCCCCTCCTCAGGGGTGGGTGGTGGTGGACAGGTGGGGGCGGGGTATACTGGTTGCGCAGCTGTCGCGAGACACCTCCAGAATTGGGCTTCAACACTCTTTGGCCCCGCCCAAGAGGGGGAGAGGGGCCAGGGGCCAGGTGGGTGGATGTATGTGTTCGTTCCCCAGCTGAACCACCACCACGGCAAGGATCACGACGACGACGACGACGACGACGACGACGACGACGACGATGACGGGGGAGCACTGGAGATCGAGGAGGCGACGTGTCAAACTGGCAAAATTCTGCGCCACCCCCAGCCCAGCACAAATGCCGCTCTCAAAATGGCCGCCAGGTGGAGAACGTAAAGGAGGGTGGATGATTGTGGTGGATTGACATGACCTGACATGGCCTGATAGCGAGGATGAGATCCGCGTGGGTTTCTGAGGGCGGCGATGTACTCTCTTCCATCAACTTTCAGAGGTCTGCGCGGATTTCTGAGGTTGGCGATGTACCCATCCATAAACTTGCATAAATCCGCGTGGATTTCTACGGTTGTCGCTGGATTCCCTGTCAGCAGGCGCCGGAGGCGCCGCCAGGTTCCGAGAGGGGTCCAGCGCCGACTCAAGGCGTCCGCGCGGACCTCCAAAAGTGTAATTTGTTGTGCAGTTTGGAGCCCGCTGCTCCTCGATGTTCCCTCACGCACGCTCCTGCTCCAGGCCCCCGACATGGTGATTTTTCCCGCGGGCCCCCGCGGCTCCCGATCTCTTCCCCACAGCCGGCTCTTTTCCTCCTGAGCTCACGTGGCGAGGCCGCGGGAACAACTGCACAAAACCTACGCGCGGAGGGGTCTGGGTCCAGGGTTTGAAAATCGACTGCCGCACCCATCCTGGAGTGCGTTCTGGCCATACTTTGTTCGGGGGGATCCAACCTTGGCGACGTGAATCCCCCCCAGGAGGCTCCGATCCCCGAGATCTTCGAACATGAGTAAGTCACTGGCCCAGAAATCAAAATCAGGGCAAGCCTCCACTCCTGCACCAGTCGTGCCCAGGGTCCGATCCCTCGTCTGGTCATCAGCTGCACCGCAAGAAACACGGGAAGGTGAAGGAGGGAGGCCCCGGTGGCCAAGATCGTATGAGGGGTCCTCGCCCATCTCAGCACACCCCTCACACGTTTCGATGCCCCACAGAAGGCTCTTCCGAAGGCCCCAGAGGCCAAGTTCGCATGACGTATCCTCGCTCACTTCGGCACATCTGAGGACGCTTCGTGGCCCCTTGTGGAGCTCCGCCGAGGAGGGAGTCAAGAGAGACGAGGAAACAAACAACGGCACAAGCATAAACTGTCGGAGGCCCGCGCTGATTTCTCGGATCGGCGCTGGGCCCCGAAATTCTATGCTTCTGGAACTGTTTGTTCTTCGCGGGGAGGTAAATCAACCTTCGACCCTCGATTGAGAAAACCAAATACCTCTGACCAGGACCTAGAGGCGAATCCGGCTGTGGCGACGAGGGCCTCCCAGGAAACCAGAAAGGGAAAAGCGAGGAAAGGGCAGCGGTATGGGTACTTTTCTTGGCGGCTCGCACAAGGGGATAGGGGGAGGAAGGAAGGCTCATTGGAAGGAGGCTGCTTCTTGAAAAGCTCGGGCCCTACATTTACGGATACGACCCGCGCCTTTTAAGAAGCAGCCTCCTCCTGAGAAGCCTTCCCCCCTCCCCCAACCCCCTTGTGCGCGTAGTCGACTTTCCCCTATCCCCAATGGCGTGGCCTGGGCCCACTGGCCCATTTACCCCCCTAGATGGGGATATAGGCTGCTCTCTTCGGGTCTCGAGGGGTGTATCCCCAACTGGGATGGAAAAACGATAGGGCTCGGGATGGGGACGAGGATAAGGGGTGAGCTCAGCGACACCTGGTAGTCCCGACCCTTTCCCCGGGCTGCTTCCTCTCATCCTGGGGCCCGGCGAGGGCCCCCGGAGGCCGAGCACGGCGAAAACCTCCGTCATGCTTGTTCTGTGTGACGCGAACAGGTCCAGGCTTCCAAGGGCGCCTAACTTAGCGCTACCGCGCTGCGAGAAGCGCGAAGAGCTTTGCGCTATCGCGCCGCCCCCACAGGGAGAAAGGGTACGAGGACACACTGGAACCGAACCGCGAAACGCGAATAACTTCGCGCCCTCGAGGGCGCCCGTGGATTTGCCCCCTCGAATCGATACCCTTCTTCGGGGAAACTAGAAGGTAACCATACTGCTACTCCCCGGACCTCTCCCGAGGTGTGCTCTGGCCAGAATTTCGAGGCGAATCCAGCGGCAGCGACGAGGGCCTCCCCAGGCCCACAGAGGGGAAAACCAAGCAAGAGCAGCGGTACGGGTACCTCTTCTCGGCGGCGAGCGAGGGGGGGAAGTGAGAAGGAGAAGGCGTTCTCAGAAGTTTCGGAGTCCACTGGCCTTCTGCGACGCTTCCCCAGCCTTCCCCGAAAACAAACAAGAACTTCTCCGAGGGCGCGAGGGCTCCCGAGAAGGCCCCGCCGCCTTCTGAGAAGGCCTTCTCTCCTTCTCACCTCCTCCCCTCGCTCGCCGCCGATCTTCCTCCTCCTTAAGTCTCGTTTAACCGATCCCCATCCCCGGAGGCGTGGCCTGGGCCCCACTGGCCGATTTACCCCTAGATGGGGATCCAGGCCGTTCCCCTCGGGTCCCGAGGGGTGTATCCCCAACTGGGGTGGTAACTTGGTGGGGGTCTCGCAGGGCATGGGGATGGGGCTGGGGCTGGGTGACATGATACCGACCCACCCCTCCTGCCCCCTTGAGGCCGCCCGCGCCTCGCTCGCCCGGCCGCAGCGCCGCCGCGGCGGGCGCGGCCGCCCTGGCCGCCGCCGCCCCGGCTGGCCGCCCGCGCGCCGCCTCCTCGGGCGTCGGGGGATGGGGGGGCGGCGGGGGCCGCGGCACGCGCGTTGGGCCGAGCACGTCCCCCCGCAGGCGGAGCTTGGGACAAGCATGAGGTAAGTGGGGGAAGGAGCAGAAAGAACCCCACAGATCACGAAGCATCGCTCCCCCCATACTACTTGCTGTGCTATTCTGGAGTCTTCCTCCTGTAGGAGGCACATGCCCGACTTCACACGCGCGCGAGTCGGGGGCGCGCAAACATGAATTAGCGATCCATGGATCTGGCGCGCGGTCGCCAAACCCATGGATCGGGGGAGGTGCCCTCCCCAGATTGCGGCCGGTGCCGCCCCTCTCGGCGGCGGGAATCCGCGATCTCCCACGGAAACGGGACCCGCCGCCAATCCCACGCCCCCCTCCTCCTCCTCCTCCTCCTCTTCCTCCTCCTCCTCTTCCTCTTCCTCCTCATGATCCTCCTCCTCCTCCTCCTCCTCCTCCTCCTCTTCCTCCTCCTCCTCATGATCCTCCTCCTCCTCCTCCTCCTCCTCCTCCTCCTCCTCCTCCCCTGATCCATGGTTGCGACCGCCTGACTGTGGAGGGACACGCCCGACTTCCCGCGCGCGCGAGGGGTCGGCGCCTCGCGGCGAGCGCGCGCGTCGCCCGCCGCGGGGCGGCCTCGGCTCGAGCGGGTGCCCCTCGGGCCGGGGTGGGCACGCCCGGAGTGCGCCCAGGGGCCCCGCGGCGGAGAGCGCCTCCCCCTGTGGAGGACGAGAGCACGCCACGCATGGGCGAGCAACGACATATGTACATGTACGCCCTCCACGGTCTTGCCTGCACGAACGTCCGCGTTGACACGCACTCCAGGGGAAGCTAACCGCGTACGTGTACATATGTTGCTGGCCTCTGAACGCACCTGCTGGCCATCGCTCGGACGTCCATTCCCCGTGTTTTTTTCGGCTTCGTGCGCGTTTTTTTCGCCAAATGGTCCAGGGATGCTCCTCGATTGTCCTCGCCGAAGGATAAAAGGCACACGTCCGAGCGATGCCAAGCCTGAACCTTTGTCGCTCCGCGCGGGTTTCTTGGACCTGCGCCGGACACCCCCCGGACGGCGCCTCCAGCGCCGCCTCGGCTGCGCTCCGCACGCCAGGGAGAGGGGTGCAGCGCAGATCGAGGAGATCCGCCCGGAGCGCCAACATTTTATGGCCATGATGTGTTTTCCTCGTCGGCTCCCCCAAACTCCCCCGATGTTTTTTCCTCTTCGACTCCCCCAGACTCCCCAACATTTCATGGCCATGATGTTTTTTCCTCTTCGACTCCCCCCCAGACTCCCCCGAGCCGGGAGGTTTTTCCTTACCTTCGGCCTCTGGGCGCCCTTCCCAGGCCTCGGGACCGTCCAAGAGCGACTCGGGATGAGAAGCCGGTCGCAAGGAGTGGGTCGCGACCTCTGGGGGTCGGCTTCTGACAAAAATCATGACCCCAGGGGTCTGGAGATCGCTCGGCCTCCGCCCGAGAAGGTGTTTCAGTCGGCGGCGAAATCCGGACCCTACCGTCGCCGCTCGACGATGCTGGCAGCTCGATGGGCAGCGGGGGTCGGGCTCGGAATTTCTCGAACGCACGGCGAAATTCAAACACTACGCCCGCACCCGATGATGTCAGGGGTCTTGGCCTCCAGCCTCCTGCTAAGGGAGCCTCGATAGGAGGACACCAACTTTGCGCCGCACTCTTGGCCCACGCTCTCCACCTGGGCACCCACATCTGTAGATACGCCCTCCTAGCTCGGGCAAGACTGCTTATTCCCAACCATCCTTTGGTGTTGGGTCCTCGTTTTGAGACAACGCCACGCGACCCACTCATTCTCCTCCTCCCCCCTCCCTCATCTCATCCCTGCATCGTTTCTGTTCCGGTACACCCCTCACACGTTTCGAGGCCCCTTAGGGAGCTCCACCGAAGGTCCCAGTGCTGCAGTTCGCATGTGAGCGTCGTGTCGGCACAGCCCTCACACGCTTCGTGGCCTCATGGTGAGCTCCACCGAAGGTCCCAGTGGCGCAGCTCGCACGTGGGCGTCACGCCTGTTTCGGCACACCCCTCACACGCTTCGTGACCCCATAGTGAGCTCCACCGAAGGTCCCAGTGGCGCAATTCGCACGTGGGCGTCACGCCCGTTTCGGCATATCCCACACGCTTCGTGACCCCATAGTGAGCTCCACCGAAGGTCCCAGTGGCGCAATTCGCACGTGGGCGTCACGCCCGTTTCGGCACACCCCTCACACGCTTCGTGACCCCATAGTGAGCTCCACCGAAGGTCCCAGTGGCGCAGTTCGCACGTGGGCGTCACGCCCATTTCGGCACACCCCTCACACGCTTCGTGACCCCATAGTGAGCTCCACCGAAGGTCCCAGTGGCGCAGTTCGCATGTGAGCGTCGCGCCCGCTTCAGCACACCCCTCACAAGCTTCGTGACCCCATAGTGGGCTCCACCGAAGGACCCAGTGGCGCTGTTCGCACGTGGGCGTCACGCCCGTTTCAGCACACCCCTCACACGCTTCGTGACCCCATGGTGTGCTCCACCGAAAGTCCCCGTGGCGCAGTTCGCACGTGGGCGTCACGCCCGTTTCAGCACACCCCTCACACGCTTCGTGACCCCATGGTGAGCTCCACCGAAGGACCCAGTGGCACATTTCGCACAGGGGCGTCACGCCCGTTTCAGCACACCCCTCACACGCTTCGTGACCTCACAGTGAGCTCCACCGAAGGTCCCAGTGGCGTAGCTCGCACGTGGGCGTCACGCCCGTCTCGGCACACCCCTCACACGCTTCGTGACCCCATGGTGAGCTCCACCGAAGGTCCCCGTGGCGCAGTTCGAACGTGGGCGTCACGCCCGTTTCGGCACACCCCTCACACGCTTCGTGACCCCATCGTGAGTTCCACCGAAGGTCCCCGCGGCGCAGTTCGCACGTGGGCGTCACGCCCGTTCCGGTACACCCATCACACGCTTCGTGACCGCATAGTGAGCTCCAACTAAGGTCCCCGTGGCGCATTTCGCACGTGGGCGTCACGCCCGTTTCAGCACACCCGCCACACGCTTCGTGACCCCATAGTGAGCTCCACCGAAGGTCCCAGTGGCGCAATTCGCACGTGGGCGTCACGCCCGTTTCGGCACCCCCGTTTCACGCTTCGTGACCCCATGGTGAGCTCCACCGAAGGTCCCCGTGGCGCAATTCGCACGTGGGCGTCACGCCCGTTTCAGCACACCCCTCACACGCTTCGTGACCCCATGGTGAGCTCCACCGAATGACCCAGTGGCGCAGTTCGCACAGGGGCGTCACGCCCGTTTCAGCACACCCGTCACACGCTTCGTGACCCCATGGTGAGCCCCACCGAAAGTCCCAGTGGCGCAGTTCGCACGTGGGCGTCGCGCCCGTTTCGGCACACCCCTCACTCGCTTCGTGACCCCATACAGGGCAGTGTTTAATCCATAATGTTTTTGTATAAAAACATGGGGTTTTAATACATGATTCATGTATGAATAAATGTATGCATGAACCCATCGTTGTTTTCAGTACTGGATCCCTGCGTTTTTTAATACATGATCCGCACGCGGAGCATGTGTTAAAAACGGCACTGGAGTGAGCTCCACCGAAGGCCCCCGTGGCGCAGTTCGCACGTGGGCGTCACGCCCGCGCCCATTGCGGCACACCCTTTCCCACGTTTCGTGGCACCGCCGGAACGGGGCTGGGCTCGCACGTCCAGCAGGAACTAAGTCAGCGCACAAGACGGCAACTGCTCCTCTCCAGGTCTCTATCGCATGGGCCAGGAGCCGAGGGCGGAAAGCAAACCGCAGACGACAAATCGGGCGCACTCCAGATCTGCAGGTGTGCGTCGCCCTCTGATGGGAGACTGGCGCCACGTCAGACGACAGGCGCGCGGGGCAGAAAGGGCACTGACAGCGAACAGTGGCAGCGGGCAGCTGCATCTGCTCGACAGGGCTGTCGAGAACGTCACCTGAAAGAAAGCGACCACCACCTGGCGTGGGATCTGACTCGAGAGGACGCCCGTGCTTCAACAAGGTTCGTTGTCGAGCCATATCTACGCCAATTCGGACGCGTGACAACTTACAATAAACTCAAGATGCCTGAGAACGAGCCACGCCCATTCTTTGTTTCCAAGACTGTGCCGCTCCCATCTGGAATTCTCTAACATGTCGACGCGGCATTAAGGATAGCAAGATGCAAGGACACGTTGACGGTCCGCATGCCTGTGCCAGACAACTCTCAATACCCAGCCTTGCACCTTGCAGCGACTAATTATCCATTAAGAGCAATACGAAAATGACAAGAGCAAATAAACCATTGAAATATGTGACCGAAGCGTGCCAGACCCAGACGGTATCGGCCTGCCGCGTGTCGTCTCCGGCACCCGTCTGGGTCGCCGTGGATCTTCCTGTTTGCCCATGCTGCTCCAGCGTAGCTCGTGCAGCGTCAGACGCACGATATCCGGATCGTCGTCCTGGAATATGATGCTGCACTTGGCTGATATGCTCGCACCGCGGCAACCGAGGGGAAATACAAACCACTAGAACCACGCGCGCGCTTCGCGCGAGCTTAGGTTTAGGTCGGGCGTGTCCCCCTACAGGCGGACTTGGGGCGAAAAAATAAAAATACCCCAACAATGTGAAAACGTATAAAAAATAGAAAGTAGTCCCCGGACTATGTGTAAACTATTTTTGGATACTCCTCATGTTGAGGGACAGGCCAAACTTAAGCTCAGGTTGTAGCAAGCTCCTGCTCTGGACAGTCCGACCACTGCGCGTAGATGCGTGGACACTCATGTGGCGCGAAGGGCTACCTGGCTGGAACGTGGCGTGAAGAGGCATGAACAACGCGGACTGAGCAAAAACAGTTAAAGACGAGGCGCTCTGAGGATATCTCACAATCGCTTCGAGGGGGGCCCAGGACAAGGGCCCCAGCGCAGCCGGATCAGTTACTAAGGGCGCCCCGCAAAGGGCCCCCAGAGGGTGCCAAAGGCGGCTCCCAGAGAGCCCAGGGGAGGTCCGGGGACGGGACACGGGAGGGATATCCCGAGGTGCGTCGAGAGACGGCCCGAAGATAGTTGCATATGGCGCCTCAAGGGAGCCTCAAGAAGCGCCCTCAGAAAGGCTGTACAGCTCTGATCAGAGAGTGTCCCTAGCGGAAGCCTAATCGTGCGTCTGAAAGGGTCCCAGGCGGAAGCCCAACAGTACTCCACCGACGGCCTGATTGGGCGCGCTCGCGGGGGCCACCCCCTTCACGCGGAACGCGCCTCACAGGGAGGTCGGCGTGCCTATGCGCGCTAGCTCCGAAACAGCTCCGTACACGGTCTGCCTCGCGGCGCGCACGTGCTCCTCCTGGAGGTTTCTTGGGGGTCTCCTGGGGGCTTCCTGGGGGTTTCCTTGGGGCCTCCTGAGGCGTCTTGGAAGCCTTGTGGGACCCCTTGAAGGCCTCTGGCGCCTCTCGCGGGTGGCGGCCTCCTGGGGCCTATTGGGGGCTTCTTGGGGGCCTCTTGGGGGCCTCGGGGGTCCACTGGGGGGGCTGGGGGCTCGGAGTGTCACTTGGATTTCATGTTCGGCTCCTCTTGGGGCCCGTTCGGAGCCCGTTCAAACTGTCTTGGGTGCCTCTTGGACTGTCTTGGGACCCTCTTGGGCCGGCTTGGCGCCCTCTGAGGTGCCTCTTGGGCCGTCTTGTGGCGATCTGAGGGGCCCCTGAGGTCGTCAAGGACAGTGCGAAGACAAACACACAACGAATAGGCAGAATGCGTGCGTTTTAAGGAAAGAATTGGGCTGTTGTTGCCTCTCGGGGCCTTCTTGGTGGACAAATTTGAAGGGTCTCGAACTGTCTTGGAAGCCACTGCGGCCGCTGGAGACGGCTCATGAGCCGTCGGAGACCCTGGATGCCGTCTTGAGAGTGGTTCGCGGTTGTCTGAACCGCCGTGACGCCCGTCGGACCGCTCTCCAGGGCGATTTCGGGCACCCGACCCACAGCACCGACATTTGTGGTCGGGGCTGCGGCCCAGGCCCCCGCCCCCTGGCTGGTCCGCCTTTATATGTACACTTCGACAGCTGAGGGGGCTCACCATCACCTTTCCAGGTTACGAAATAGGTGACGTCTTGCATACAGAAGTTGCATCCTGGAGCGGGTTCCTTTGTCTGCAGAGTGGCCTTGGATGCTGGACTGCAAGACGCGATTCGAGAATCCTCATCATCGACCTGATGCGGGAAAACATTGAACGACACGTGAACCTCAGACTCGGAGGCGTCGGCGGCGTCTTCGATGTCCTCGCTGGTGCCACTCGATTCAGACGAAGATGATTCCGAGTCGGAAACGTTACACTTATTGGCGACAGTAGATTAAGTTAAATTTGACTTACATCCAGAGCTCCTCTTGATGCCAGGTGCGTGGACGCGATCATCCCCCGCCCCCAAGCACGCATGGGCAATCTGGACGCGGACAAAGAGTCCTGATGCGTCCCGAAGATTCACGGAGAGGAAGACTGTGTGGCCTTCGCGTTCGGCATCTTCTTCGGGAGCACTGGCGACTAGCTCTGAAAGCTTAGTTCTTGCACTTTTCAATACGAAATCTGTGAACACCCTGCCAACTGAAGCTCGCGGGTCACGTTTATGCATCAGGAAGAGTCCGAACTCATCGCGCCCGGGACATGCTCGAGCCGCGGCTCCAAAAAGACGCACGCATCGCACGTCCTAGAGAGAAGCCGTTCGATGGCAGACAAACTCATCATGGCGTCCGCTTCGCGAGACTTCAAGCTGGCCAAAGACCCACATGAATTTGCCAACATCCATCAAAAAGCGGCTTGCGTCCGAACCTCCAAATGGCTTTCTCAAGGGCGTCCAATTCGGAACAATTCAACCAAACGGTTAATGCAGAGCCAGCCAACGATACTGTACTCAATCTATCGCTGCCACAAAGTAATCCTTGTCCACCCTGGATGGCCAGGATCAAAAAACACATGTACGCGCAGGAACGCTTACGGGCAACCAAACATACAAGGTAAAATGGCACTCGAAAACTGAACGCAACATTCATCATACCTAACCGTGACGGCGAAGCTGATTTTGGCGCCGCGACCAAATAGCGTCGCGGCTAAATTGGACATTGCCATTACTGTGATCAAGAACAGTCCAGATGTGTTAGGGGAGCTCCTATTGCGGCCTCTAGGCTACCTTATTTCAAATAGTAATACTGAGAATGCCCCGTTGCCATGTGGAGCCGCTTTGGGGGCGGTCTTCGAGCGTGCTGTAACATGTCACCAGAAGTGGCAAGGCGAGAAACCTATCCACACACGATGCCCATGCGAATTGCCCTGATCATAGAAATGAGGGAGCACACAGAGAAACAAAAGGATTGGGAAGTCGTCGTACCCCAAACGGGGAGAAGATGGCGGAGGAATAGGAAGAGGAGGCAGCAGAAGGAGGAAAAATGAGCAGAGCGGCGAGCAAAAGGGCCAAAAGCATCGTGGATGCCTCTCGGAATCTCTTGGGAATCTCTTGGGCGATTCTCGGGGGCCTCTTGGGGCGTCTTGGGGGCCTCTTGGCGGTCCAGGAGGGCTCTTGAGCGTCGTCTTGGGTGCCTCGGGGGGGCCTCTTGGGGCCGCTTGGGGTCCACTTGGGGGCCTCTTGGGGCCCTCTTGGCTCCCGGTGGGGCCATCTTAGGGCCTCTTGGGGCCTCCTGGGCGCGTCTTGAGACCATCTTGGAGGACATCGATCAAACAAGAGGGGAGCTTTCATTAGCACTGCCCCTCTAGATCGCCTCATATCGCCTCTCGGGGCGCTCTTGGACGATCTTGAGGTAGTCTCGGGACTCTCTTGGGCCATCTCGGAGCCGTCTTGAGGCCTCGGAGGGCCATCGGAAGCGAGGAGACGAAACATCAAAAACATGTAGTTTCCTCTGGTCGGGGAAGGATTTTAGCCTCTTGGGGGCCTCTCTGGGGAGCTCTCGAACCATTTTGGGCAGTCTTGAGGCCTCTTGAAGCATCTTGAAAGCCATCTTGAGCGATCTTGCGATATCTTGAACCATCTTGGAGGCAATCTTGCACTCGCCGAGGCCCTCTTGGGGCCGTCTTGGGCCTGGGCTATCTTGGACGCTCCAACGCCTCGCGACCACCGTCCAGGTCCACGGGAGGGGGTAAGGGGTAAACCCCTCCCCGAAGGGGAAGGAGGTTGGAAGGGAAGCCGCCCTAGACCACCTAAGCCCAGAGGGCTGGTTGGATTAGAGTACTGTGGATGTGTGAACTATGAGATGCAAAAGCGTCTTTGCGGCCTTCCACAAGAGGCCCAACCCTGAGACACCAGGACGTCTATTAATTTTTGGTGTGGGAACGTCGCGCTTTCCACGGCAGCACCATCGAAACCCAGGAAACCCACGGCACCCTGGAGGCAAGCAGGGTGTTTTTTGGCATGAGTCCCTTCTGTAAGCACGCATCCATGGGACACCCCCATGGGCGGCGACGGCCAGCAACGGGCAAGAACATGGCGAGCCCTCGGCACACCCCAACAGGCGGCAACGGGCGGCAACTGGCTGGAAAGTGGAGGTTCCTCGGCACACCCCGACAAGTGGCAACGTTCGGCAACGGACGGCGCCAAACGGGAACGTGGCGGACTCCTGGGACAACGAGCCAGAACGTGGCCAATCCTGGGGACACCCACCCCGATCTTCTCCTACGACGACGCCGACGCCGACGCCGCCCCGACGCCGACGCCCAGGCCCACGCCGACGCCGACGCCGACGACGCCACCGCCGCCGCCGCCGCCGACGACGACGACGACGGCCACCGCCGACGACGACGACGCCGACGCCGACGCCGACGACGGCGACGACGACGGCGCCGCGCTCCTCCTCGAAGGGCCGCCGCTCGGCCTCCGGGCGCCGCCGCTCGGCCGGCCGCGGCCGCCGCCGCCCGGCCGCGGCCGCGGCCGCTCGGCCGCGGCCGTGGCCGCCGCCGCTGCCGCGGAGGCGTCGCTCGCCATCGCTCGGACGTCCACTCCCTGTGCTTCTTTCGGCTTCGTGCGTGGCTTCTCGCCGAAGGATCAAGGAACCCTTGATCATTCGGCGAAAAGCCACCTGGATGCTCCGGATGGTCCTCGCCGAGGGACATTCGCCTCCCAGCACAGCCCCCAGCACAGCCACCTCGGTACATCGAGGAGCATCCTGGATGCTCCTCGAGGGCCCTCGCCGGGGGAAACAACGCACACGGCCGAGCGATGCCACGGTGGCCGCCGCCGCCGCTCTTCACGGCTGGCGTTCGGTCGGGCGTGTCCTCCCACAGGGGGGCGCAAGACAGAGGATAAGAGATAGCCAAGAGATGCTCAGACACAGTCGACGACGGTCCCCAAAAACGCGCCCATAGCACCTTTTTTTGACTACTTCTGCATACTCCTCCCGTAGAGGGTCAGGCCCAACGTAAGTCTGGCGGGGAAGAGATCGGAGAGAGCGTGATCCACCGCCGCTTTACTGTGGAAAATTGCTGCACTTTTCCGCTGGAGCCCGGGTGTCCCCCCCCTCCCCCCCCCGTTCCCCTGGCAAAACCCCCCCCCTCCCCTACCCCCCCCCCGTCCCCCTCGAAAACCGAGGGGGGTCACTACCGGTTCGAACCCCCCCACCTCCCCCTCGAAAACCGGAAGGGGGGGTCACTACCGGTTCGAACCCCTCCCCACCCATCCCTCTCACCGCCAGCAAACGACTCCCGGTCCCTACCACCGTCCTCGTCCTCACCACATCCCCCAGTCTGACAGTGTTGTTCCCAGCACCACTGTCCCCACCACCACTGTCCCTACTGGTTCCACCACCGGTCCACTGTCCCCACCAGTGCCACCACCATTGTCGCACTGTCCCCACTGTCCCCGCCACTGTTCCCACCACGGTTCCACTCTCCCAACTTTCTCCACGGCCCCAACCATTGCCCGACTATCCCCACTGTCCCCACTGTCCCACTGACTCCTCGGCTGTGTCACTGAGCTGTCCCACTGTTCCCACCACTGTCCCCACTGTCCCCACCACTGTCCCCACTGCACCTCTGTCCCATTGTCCCACCGCCGTCCTCGCCACCGCCTTCACCACTGTCCCCACCACCACTGTACCCTCCACTGTCCTATTGTTTCCACCACATTCCCATTGTCCCCACACCACTGTCCCCACCACCACCGTCCCCACCACTGTCCCATTGTCCCCACTGTCCCCACCATTGTCCCCACCACTACCGTCCCCACCACTGTCCCTCTGTCCCCACCACTGTCCCGCTGTCCCCTCGCC